TAAAACTTTTCTAGCTGATCGCCTGTCCAGGAGCTTCAAAAAGTCTTAAGAAACTACAAAGTCCAGGAAAGCTGGGGAAGACCTTAGAGCTTCGGTCTGTCATGGTCACACCTGAGATGTGCATACAATGGTTGTTGCCCAAACTAATGTAGTCATTTAAGGGCAAGAGGCTCCTTTTCCAAACTTTGTTGATTCCCAAGGCAGGGCAATTAGTATTCAATTTCCCCAGCAGCTACATGGCATCCAAGAGACCTCTTGCCATTGCCCTGAGCCCCACATGGAAGTGGGATGCAGAGAGCTGCCATTCTTGGAATCTGCTACCACTATCACCTTAGATCTGGCCAAATTAGCCCCATTAATATCTATGACCTCAGAAAATCCCCTCCCTGGCTCATCTCTCCTCAATGGACTTAGTTTCCCAAACAAGAACTTGGAGGTTGTATTCTAGAAGCTTGGCAACTTGTGTATATTTCCAGGAAATATAACTGCTATTTTCAAACTCCCGGCCTCAGGTGATGCTCCCATATCAGCGTTCCCAAGTGCTAGGATTGGCTAGGCGCAGTACTTACATCTGTAATCCTAGCACTCTGGGAGGCCAAAGCAGGCAGATTGTTTGAGCTCAGGAGTTCGAGACCAGCCTGAGCAAGAGCGAGACTCCGTCTCCACTAAAAATAGAAAAAATTAGCCAGGCACGGTGGCACATGCCTATAGTCTCAGCTACTTGGGAGGCTGAGGCAGAAGGATTGCTTGAGCCCAGGAGTTGAGGTTGCTGTGAGCTAGGCTAATGCCACAGCACTCACTCTACCCTGAACAACAAAGTGAGACTCTGTCTCAAAAAAAAAAAAATAATAATAATAATAATAATAATAGGCAATAAAAATGCTCCTACCAAAAGAGCATTGTACAAGGATGTTCTCCCTGGTTACTTTCTATATATCTTATCTGTCATTTTAATACAGCTCATAAAACTCTGTGCAAATATTTAACTACTTTCCATTGGACCCACAGATCTGGATTCAGATGAGTGGCATAGGAGAAAGATGATCATAAAGTAACATGACTATCTCCATAAACATGACAGAGCTCATACATACAGATGAATGATGAAGACTTCAAAACAATCACACTTATTTTGGTAATTCTGCTATTTTTTTTTTTTTTTAGACAGAGTCTCACTTTGTTGTTCAGGGTAGAGTGAGTGCTGTGGCATTAGCCTAGCTCACAGCAACCTCAATCTCCTGGGCTCAAGTGATCCTACTGCCTCAGCCTCTCGAGTAGCTAGGACTACAAGCATGCGCCACCATGCCTGGCTAATTTTTTGTATATATATTTTTAGTTGGTCAATTAATTTATTTCTATTTTTAGTAGAGACGGAGTCTCGCTCTTGCTCAGGCTGGTTTCGAACTCCTGACCTTGAGTGATCCTCCCAGAGTGCCAGGATGACAGGCGTGAGCCACCACGCCCAGCCTAATTTTGCTGTTGATTAAAATATTTTTGGAATTCTTCTCTACAAGTTCCCTTCAAGGCCTAAAACACATTCCTCTCTTTCTCCCTGTCTCTCTTTCTCTTATTTTCCTCTTATCTTTCTGAGATATTCATTATACTTTATATTTGATTTTGTTTTGCCTGTGTTCCTCTGAGTTCCTCCTCTCTAAATGTTTGATTTATCTTTCATAATAGGGGCTTTCCTCAAGTATCTGGTGATCGTTGGCTGATTATATACAAGGAAAGAGTAAGGAGCTGAGTGGAAAATGTGAGCCTGGGTGGGTCTCAGCACAGGGAATTGAGCAAGACTGGCCGTTTCATTGTGGGCTCACAATATTAGTTATTATCTATAGCTCTTTTCTCCTAGTTCAGACATTTACCCCAGAAAGGATCCTACTGGCTCCTGCTTGGGAGGTCATTTTGGCAGCCAGAAATCAAGGAGCTTAGTAGGGACACGATGAGAACTAGGGGACTGGCTTACTGCTCAGAATGCGGACTTTTGCTTCATCTCCCTATCTTCTTTTTTTTTTTTTTTTTTTTTTTTTTTTTTTTTTTTTTTTTTTTTTTTTTTTTTTTTTTTTTGTTTTTTTTTTTTGAGACAGAGTCTCGCTTTGTTGTCCAGGCTAGAGTGAGTGCCGTGGCGTCCTAGCTCACAGCAACCTCAAACTCCTGGGCTCGAGCGATCCTTCTGCCTCAGCCTCCCGGGTAGCTGGGACTACAGGCATGCGCCACCATGCCCGGCTAATTTTTTATATATATATCATTTGGCCAATTAATTTCTTTCTATTTATAGTAGAGACGGGGTCTCGCTCTTGCTCAGGCTGGTTTTGAACTCCTGACCTTGAGCAATCCGCCCGCCTCAGCCTCCCAAGAGCTAGGATTACAGGCGTGAGCCACCGCGCCCGGCCTCCCTATCTTCTTTACGGCATTGTTGCTTGCCTTCAGCTGTGCCTTGAGTCCCAAGTCCAGAATCTCTCTGGTTCTTCTCCAAAGAGTGATCCTCCCATTCTTCTTCTGGGCTTGGGAAGGGGCTGCAGCCTGGTTTCCTGGCCTGGAGGAGAAGGTCTGGGGTTTAACTGCTCCATAGATGGGCTTCCAACCTGTGTTCCCGTGCATAGCACTGCCATGCAGTCCTGTCCTCAGAATTACCTGGTCTTTTCCAGGTTCTAGGGCAAGACCCAGCTTGCTTTTTATTGATTCCTCATTTTGCAGGCACTTAGGTATCAATGTTCTCCATTATCCTAAGTTAGTTACCATTCATCCACTCTGTATTATAAAATTTTGTTAGCATCTCTCATCTATTATCATTTCTTCTCCTTTTCATTTGCCCTTGTGGGTTTAACATGCCTTTTAAAACTTCTTTTGTTGGTAATTTAATGAGATTTGGGAAGGGAACAGAGATAAACTTGTATGCCTAACCCACTACTTTTATTAGAAGTTTTATAGCACACTTTAAATTGAATAGAATGTCTTAAATTGTGGAAAATCTTTGTTTTTTAAGGATGGTTTTAATTTTAGGGAATAGTCAAAAGTCTAAGAGACCCTTGGTCAAATTCCCTTTCCTAGGCCTGAAGCCCCTAACACTTATCATAAATAATTGTTTTTTTATTTTGGTAAGCAAACTGAATAAATTATGACAATTGTCCATTATAATACAACAGAATAATCTCAGATCTGTAAGCAACCTTTCTAAAAAGATAGAATGCATATATATATATATATATATACATATATATATATATATATATATTTCTTTTGTTTGTTTTTTGAGATAGCATCTCACTCTGTTGCCTGGCCTAGAGTGCCATGGTGTCAGCCTAGCTCACAGCAACTTCAAACTCCTGGGCTCAAGCAATACTCCTGCTTCTGCCTCCCAAGTAGCTGGGACTATAAGTGCAGACCACAATGCCCAGCTATTTTTTTCTGTTTTTAGTAGAGACAGGGTCTTGCTCAAGCTGGTCTCACACTCCTGAGCTCAACCAATCATCCCTTCTCAGCTTCCCACAGTGCTAGGATTACAGGCATGAGCCACTGTTTCTGGCCAGAATGCATATATTATATCAAGTAGAATCTGTAGTATGTCCAAAATTTCTGGGGGTAAACAATCTTAGCCCAAAAATCATGCTTACTTACTATTTTATTTTTAAATAGATTGCTCATCAAACATATCTCAAATGGAAAAACAGGATCATAATTGGACATTTTAACTGCCCATAACTTCTGCCCCCAGGGAGATAATTAAGGGGATCAAAAACACCTCTTTCCCTTTGTAGTAGTCGTGTGATATCATGCTATCAGTTTGGCTCAGGGTGGCAACCAAATATTTGCTTATTCTACCCCAAGAAAGTATAAGTTCATATCTGTTCAAACATTTGAAAAGAAAAATTAACCTAACCAGCAGAAGGCTGAAACCAATGTATAAAATAACTGGATGTCATTTAGCATTGAGTTGGGAATGGTATAAAGGGGACCAAAGACTAACTCTTTTAACTGGTTTCTGTCTTTTTGGGGTCTGAAAATCTGTCTCACTATTATTAAAGGATAGCCGTAGGCCTAGCCTGAAAAATGGAATTATTCTTGATTTTGGACATAATCCCCAAATAGCCACTTAGAGTCAAAGCTGGTAATCTTTAGAGGCCAAGCAGAAAAGGACTGCCACAGATGAAACATAAGGGTCACTACAAAGTGATGACATTTTGTGTGGCTCAGAATCTGTCTTCTTAGGCAGATCCAGATGCACAGTTCCTTTTGAGTCCTCATGCATTGTTTTTTAAAATGTGCACAGCCTCCTGAAATGATTATGTTAGTTGGGTATATGTGTTTGAATAGGTTTGAGTTTTAAAGTCCTACTGCTCTATAATGACCTCATGTTCTAACATGGAAATGAGGAGCAAAGCATTGTGGAAAGGGATTTAGAAAAGTTATTCACATGAGACTTATTTATAGTAGTAAAACATTGACTTATGACAAAAAATTTACACAGTAACAAAAAATGTCTAGAATAGGAAACTGGCTGAGCAACATGGTGTCATGCTATGTACTCATTAAGACGACAGGCCCATGTGTCATGTTCATTTCATGGAAAAGTGTATATAAAATAATTTAAGTGAAAAAATTCATACAAAATTGAATGTACACGACAGGATTTCATGAAAATTAATGTTAGTCAACACCACACAGACCATTTCAAGCTGACAAAATAGTTATTTTTTTTTCTTCATAGTTGCTTAAATTCATAATGAAATAGAAGAAAGTTGGTGTCTAAGAAGCAGTGCTACTTCCCCCTTCTCCTGAGCCAAGTCTTTAAACAATGTCATTTCATTATTTTCCTGTAGGGTAAAATACAGGAAATCAGCATATCTCTTAGGAAATCAGCATATCTCTCTTCAAACATTAAAAAAACAAACAAACAAAAAAAAAACCCTTTTGAAGTCAGTGGATCAATAAAAAGTTCCTGCTTTCCACACAGCTCAAAGGGTGGAGCCCCCAAACCACAAGGGGAAGAAGGAAGTTAAAAGATGTTAAATACTGGGGCCGGCTACCCTGGTCAGGCTGGCTGTCTGGCTGCGCAGTCAACATGAAGGCTCTCCTCCTTCTGGGGCTCGTCCTCCTGTCCGGCACAGTCCAGGGCAAAATCTATGAAAGGTGTGAGTTGGCCAGAACCATGAAAAGCCGGGGAATGGATGGCTACAGAGGAATTAGCCTGGCAAACTGTAAGTCTGCGCACTCCTTCATACTTCCAGAGAGTTAGCCAAGTGTCGAACAGACAATATGAGAGAAGGAATAGTAAGAAGGGGCTCTGAGTGAAGAGACGTTTTTATTTCTTTGTGGGTTTGTGCACAAATGGTTACAGACATCAGTTTGGTCCTTTATTATCAGAGATACCAGATGAAGGCATGAGGGCACGGCAGGGGAAAATTCTATGCTACTCTAAGTAAAACAGGACCTGTTGTACTGTTCCAGTGCCACTAAGTCTGCCCACTGCCTCGGACCCCAGGGCACACACAGGCTGACTGAAAGATGCCTTTGAGGACCTGGCAGAGTGCCATCAGAGTCCTTGGGACTTAACTCCAGTCATTTCTCATTTAAAACTTGAGCTCTGAGAGCCTAGAACGATGCAGCATTTTTCTATTTTTTAGATTCTCATGCCATGACATGGGATTTTTAACAGAAAAGTTTTTTAAAATTATGTTGAATTCCCCATACGGGGCAGTAGGAACCAATGTCCCCTCAGTCAATGTTTATATAAGGATCCCTGAAACGCAGCATGAAATGTTTTATTATTTTTATTCACTCTAATGATTTAACAATTTTTCATTTTCCTCAAGATGGGCCATTCAAGCATAATTCAAGATGGGCCATTAGGAAAAGTTACTTTATAGTTTCGTCCATATTCGTTGATGTAATCACTGTACTTTTCAGATTGACTTTAAACATTTCCCCTGAATAACTATTTTTGAATGAATAAGTCAATAGATGAAATCCCAGAACAGTCGTTCCTATTCTAAAGCTCTTTTTTTTTTTTTTTGAGACAGAGTCTCACTCTGTTGCCCAGGCTAGAGTGCCGTGGCATCAGCCTAGCTCACAGCAACCTCAAGCTCCTGGGCTCAAGTGATCCTCCTGCCTCAGCCTCCCGAGTAGCGGGGACTACAGGCATGCGCCACCATGCCCGGCTCATTTTTTCCATATATTTTTAGTTGTCCAGCTAATTTCTTTCTATTTTTAGTAGAGACGGGGCCTCGCTCTTGCTCAGGCTGGTTTTGAACTCCTGACCTTGAGCGATCCTCCGGCCTCAGCCTCCCATCCCAGAGTGCTAGGATTATAGGCCTGAGCCACCGCGTCTGGCCCCTATTTTATAACTCCTGTTTTCAAGATTCTAACTTGATATCCAAATTTGCCATTTGGTATTGTAAGAAAATTTCTCTCTCACAGAAAATCCTTGTTTTTTTCCTAATAAAAAGCATTTTTCTATCAGCTTACTTATCTGTTATGAATTTACAAAATCCACTCAGTAGCTCAGTTAGTTTTTTCTATTCTAGGCTGTATGTTGTCTGAGGGAAGGGTAAAAGCAATGGAAGAAATGGCTGTTTTAATATTTTTTAAAGGACCTTATATTGTTTGTTTAGTATTATAAAATGATTTGCATGACAAAAGGATTGTCTTATGGGCCCTTTTACACTAAAGTGTTAAAAAATTATAAAGTTAAATACATCTTTATACTTATAAAGTAAGTCAGTAAAATAGAAATAGCTAAACAGACCTGATTTTGGTATACAGCATTACATCATTTAGTGTTACTGTTTATTACTAAAAATATGTTCTTTTCAGGGATGTGTTTGGCCAGATGGGAGAGTAGTTATAACACACGAGCTACAAACTACAATCCTGGAGACCGAAGCACTGATTATGGGATATTTCAGATCAACAGCCGCTATTGGTGTAATGATGGCAAAACCCCAAGAGCAGTTAATGCCTGTGGTATATCCTGCAATGGTAAGACAAGATAGTATCCAAGTGATGGCATAGGACCTATCTGGTTATATCTATAAGAATAGGGATCCAATGTAAATGAAAAAGCCTGGAAGGGTTCATCAGGGACCTAGAAAAACTCCATCTCAACTTCTAGAAAGCCATTATAATTCCCTAAGTAAGAAACTAAAGAGGTATCATAAAAGTTTAGTGTTTTTTTAATATATAAAAGTTTCTGGAATGACATTTATTATAAATGTCCTTACTGATGCTTTGTCCAGAACAATGTCCACCCATTCACTTTGGGAAGGTTTAGGGGTAATTTGGTTGCATGGTCCTTTTTCAATTGTTTCACTTTTTATTATGAAAGATTCCAAATATAAAGAAAATTAGAGACATTAATATAATAAAATGGCTGTATGTCCATCATACACTTTTTTTTTTTTTTGAGACAGAGTCTTGCTTTGTTGCCCAGGCTAGAGTGAGTGCCATGGCGTCAGCCTAGCTCACAGCAACCTCAAACTCCTGGGCTCAAGCAATCCTGCTGCCCAGCCTCCCAAGTAGCTGGGACTACAGGCATGCACCACCATGCCCCGCTAATTTTTTCTATATATATTAGTTGGCCAATTAATTTCTTTCTATTTATAGTAGAGTCTGGGTCTCACTCTTGCTCAGGCTGGTTGCGAACTCCTGACCTCAAGCAATCCGCCTGTCTCAGCCTCCCAGAGTGCTAGGATTACAGGCGTGAGCCACCACGCCCGGCCTCCATCATACACTTTTATATTTGTTAACATTTTGCCAGAGTTGCTTCTTCTAGATATATATTTTTTTTTGCTCAGAGATTTTTAAGTGAATTGGAAACATTATGACATTTCATTTCTAAACTTTTTAGTTTGGATCTCCAAAAAATATAGCTCCTAAATAATCACTGTCACAACTAACAAATTAACTTATGGATTTGTTTATTTGGGGTGAAACAAATATTTTATTGAACTCCTATAAAAACAGAAATAACATGTGAAATCTTTAGAGCAAAAAATATTGCATGAATATTGTAAACTTTACATTATTAAATTTCTAAATATTAAAATTCCCAATAGAGAAGATTAATCTTAGAATATTCTTTTTAAAAGTCAATTAAATTTTATAATATTTTATACTATATAATAATCTGTGGTCATTAAAGAAAAATTAGAAAACACAAATAAGAAAAAATAGTACCCATAATCTTATTACCCAGAGATTTTATGACCACTGGTAAATTTTGGTATATACTTCCAGAATGTATATCAATCATGTATATGAAAGGTAAGTTATATCATGCACATATGTACCCACATAAAAACATGTAAGCAATGTATATTGTTACAAAAATTAAATTGTATTATATGTACTGCTTTACAATTTTCTTATCGCACAAAATTGTTTCCATTTCAGCAAATACAAATCTGTTATCATTTTCAAAGAATGAATAGAATTCTAATATGTGGATATTCTATAATTTACTGATCCAACTATTACTATTAAGTATATAAGTTGTTTCCATTTTTAGTTTTTACAAATTGCTATGAACAGCTTTTTAAATATTTTTTTGAGACAAGGTCTCTCTGTGTCTCCCAGGCTGGAGTGTAGATCAGAGCTCGCTGTAACCTTGACACTCTGGGCTCAAGCGAGCCTCTGGCCTCAGCCTCCTAAAGAGCGAGGATTACAGGCATGAGTCACCATGTCCAGCTGCTATGAACAGCTTTGTACATACATACAAATGTTTACATTTGTCATTGTGACACAGGAAAGTAATTCCCAATGCTGGGAATCTCTTGAAGTCTAAGTGGGTCCCTGGCTTCGAGTGAGAAAGAATTCAGGAATGAGCCAACAGTGTAAAGTAAAAGCGAGTTTTATTCAGTAAAGATAGAAGACCTACTCCACGGAGCAGAGGTAGTTCTTCCTGCTGGGGAGAACAGCCCCTGTGGTTTTTTGGATTTCTTCATTTAAGCAATGGCTTAATCATGAACTATGCAAGGGAGGAATGTTCATATTGATTTTTAGAAAGGGGTGATACTTTTAGAACCGGGAACCTCCCTTTCTTTATTTCATAAAGTCCCTCCTAGATCTGTCATGGTGTCAGAGGAGTTTCTTTTAATATGCTAATGTATTAGAATTAAAGCATAATGAGCTGCAAGATTAAGAAATGACCTATTTCTTTGCTTTGATTACAACTGGTTTTACCTTGTTTTGTCACCACATGCTGTTTTTGATCTGGGAGATTAAAGGCTTTTTGACTCTGTGTGAAGCAGTGCCTGCTGATTCCCTATCTCATATTGATGTCTTTGGATGCATTTCTTACTTCTTTAGGACTAATTTACAAAAGTAGAACTGCTGAGTAAAAAAATTACTAGGCATCTTTTTTTTTCACAGTATCTAGTACAAAGAGGACTCTCATCATATTAGTTAATAATTCCAGAGTTTCAAATGGCTTTGGCAAATGAGAAACAGAATGTTTTATTTCATGTGGAATGGGACAGAATGAAAAGAAGTTTCCCCCAACAGTTACAGAGATACAGGGACTCTTGGAAAATAATTTCTTAGCAGGCACGGTGGCTCACACCTATAATCCTAGCACTCTGGGAGGCCGAGAAGGGAGGATCGCTTCAGGTCAGGTGGTTGAGGCCAGCCTCAGCAAGAGCAAAACCCTATCTCTAGGAAAAACAGAAATTACCCAGACAACTAAAAATAGAAAAAAATCAGCAGGGCATGGCAGCATGTGCCTGTAGTCCCAGCTACTTAGGAGGCTGAGGCAGGAGGATTGCTTGAGCTCAGGAGTTTGAAGTTGCTGTGACCTAGGCTGACGCCACGGCACTCTAGCCTGGGCAACAGAGAGACTCTGTCTCATAAAAAAAAAAAAAGAAAGAAAGAAAAAGAAAAGAAAAGAATTTCTTAGCATTCTTTCCTCAGCTTAACAGAATGCAACTGGCTAAACCTAAACTTAAAATGAAATTTCTATGAAGGCTGTTTTCATTCCTTACCATCTCTCTTTCAGCTTTGCTGCAAGATGACATCACTCAAGCCATAAACTGTGCAAAGAGAGTTGTCAGGGATCCACAAGGCATTAGAGCATGGTATGTTTTAAGTGTTAAATGGGAAAATACTGTTGATATAAGCAGTGAGACTTTCAAAGACCAAAGTATGCTACTGAGAACTGAAAATTGCGGCTTTTGACTTGTGCTAACAATGTATTACCTAAAACCTTGAAGAAACAATTACCTTAACTAACTCAGAATCTTACTCTTTTACTATTCCTCAGTTTATTTTAAGGGATTTCTAGAGTTTTTGTGATTCTTCACATTTTATCAATTCCTTGTCATGTCCAGAGTTATTTTTAGGATAAGTAAATGTGGAATGTGCTTTGCAGGTACTGTTGTGCAGTGCACGTTACTCAACCCTCATGTTCAGCATTCTAGTGTGTTGAGGAGGCGTTAAGTAATTTCTGTACATACCTTCATTTAATAAATAGCAATATGTGGGTCTATCTGTAGCCTGTATTTTCTCTCTCAACAAAATATTTTGTTTCCCCAAAGGGTTGGAAGTATGTATATTACAATGAAGATTTGTTTTAACCTTTTCACTGTTTGTTTTACCTTTCTCTACAGGGTGGCATGGAGAAATCGTTGTCAAAACCGAGATCTCACTGAGTATATTCGGGGTTGTGGAGTGTAACTGCGGAATTTTCCTTCTTCAGCTCACTTTGTCTCTTTTTCTTATTAACAGAGTGGTAGTTAAGTGAAAGGCACACTGTCAGTTTCCCCTTCAAACAAATAACATTCTTTACAGAAGCAGGAGCAAAATATGGTCTTCCTTCTAAAAGGCTTAATGTTCACTAATGTGGTAATTATTTGATATTAAGCCTACAATATTTTTTAGTTTACAAATAGAACTAATGCTGGTGAAAATTTTGTCTAAAGCCTTGGTTATCAAGTACATCTTCAGTACATTAATTTCTTCTCAAAGAAATAACCCAGACTGAATCTTGAATGATACAAGTATTCCCCAATACCAGATAAAATTATAGCAAGAGACTTACCTTAGATTGCTCTTAGGCAAAATCCCAGCTGTGTGGCATCTGATGGCTTCACCTGTTCAGGCATCTCCCAAAATAGTAAAAATAACCACTCTTTGTTGGGCAGTATAAAATTTTTAAAGGAGCAGAATGCCAAATGGCTAAAAATGGAGACAACCTGAATTAAGAATTTTGTTTTCATAAGATGTATTTCTTACTAAACTGCTATTCCTTAATTTTATTAATTTGAGGATTCGTGCAGTATGACTAAATCAGAGGCAGTTGAGTTTACAAGTATTGAAATAACTGCTATTAATGACTAACCACAGGTATAAAATTATGCATGTTGTAAAAAAATACAAAAATTATCATTAAAAGGCTTTGCAATGCATTCTTTGTCTTTTTTTGTTTAGAACCATCTAGTGTGTCTGTAGAAAAATATATGTATTTGAAAAAAAGATTTGGCTCTCTTAATATCTACTGTGTCCTCCTCCAGCTGAATATTGTTAGAGAAAAATCCACAAGCATGCTGACAGGTCTCACTGTAAATTCATAACCACAAATATCAAATGGGCCCTCAAGTGTGCCTGGCCATCTTAGTCACTTCTCTGCAATCCTGTGTTGTTGTCCCTGATTCCAAAATAACTATTACTATATTTTACTTTTCCTCTTCTCTTTTCAAAGCCTGAACATCCACATCCAACCCTCTCCTCTGCCCACTCATCCTCTACCCTTCGCTGCTCTCAGCAGATAACCTGGCCTCATGTTACACTGAGAGAACACAAGCAACTTCACACACAATTTCCCCCTCCATGTCACCAAAACAGAAGTCACACCTTCCCATGGACCCATCCATCCTTGCTTCCCTTGTATTACCAGGATGAAGGGCCTCTGCTCCTGTCAACGGCAGTGTCAACACAGGTAGTCTCTAGCCCATCCCACTCACTACTCCAACTTAGGCTGAGTGTTTCCTGCATCCTGCGTTTCTACCTCTTCCCTGGGTCACCTCCATCATCCTACACTCTGCCATAGTAACCTCCATATTACAAAGAATACTCCGCTGACCCTACCTAACCCTCCAACTACAATTTCATTCTCTGCTCCCTTTACAGCAAGACTTCTAGGAAAAGATGTCTGTACTCACCAACCCCTTGTCCTCACCTCCCATTCTCCTTTCGACTCTCTCTAATCTGGCTTCTATCCTCATCCAATTAAAATCATTCCCCCAGGATTTCTCCCATGATTCCTTAGTGCCAGTTCCAGTAATCACCTCTGTTCATCTCAGCAGCATTTGACAAAGTGAATCATTTCCTACTTCTAACAACCTTTCCCAGTTGCCTAATGGATAAGGCACTGGCCTCCTAACAACCTTTCCTCCCTGGGTTTCTCATTTATAGCCTCCCGCACTGACTGCTCCTTCTCAGACCTTCTTGCTTTCTCTGCCTTTTTTTTTTTTAGACAGTCTCACTCTGCCTCCTCAGCTTCAGTGCTGTGGCACTGAAATTCCTGGGCTCAGGTGATCCTCCTGCCTCAGCCTCCTGAGTAGCTGGGATTATAGGCGCATGCCATCATGCCAGGCTAATTTTTCCTATTTTTAATAGAGATGGGGTCTCACTCTTGCTCAGCTGGTGTCCAACTCCTGAGCTCAAGCAATATTCCCACCTCAGCCTCCCAGACTGCTAGGATTACAGCCTTGAGCCACCTCTCCCAGCCTTTAATTTCTAAATGTGGGAGTGTTTCAGGGCTCAAGCCTATAACCATTTGATATACTACGTTATTTTGCTTATTTGTCTCTTCTCACCAAAATATAACTTCCAAAGAGACATAGTTTTATTCCACTTTTTTTTTTCTTTTTTTTTGTAGGCTGATGCCACGGCACTCACTCTAGCCTAGGCAAGAAAGCGAGACTCTGTCTCAAAAAAAAAAAAGAAAAGAAAGAAATCACCCACTTTTGCACCAAAATTGTTAATCTGTAGATTTTTTTAGTCCTTATTTATGTCATTTTTGCATAATTTAATTATAGTGTGCATACAGCTATTATACAGGGTCTTTTCATATCACATGTAAAGGTGGGAATTCTTTGAAAATTTTAAAACCTGCTGAAATTTAATGGAAGAGAAAGATGCCAAGTGAAAAGTTCATATTACCAGAAGCTTTGTGAACATACATTTTGACCAAGATTTTGGGCTAGATTTTGGACTGATAGGAAACTACTTGAGGACAAACGTTAGATTTTGGGAAAGAAATTACAGAACTTTCTTTGCTTGTAATCATACTGAATTTTAAAAGTTTGCAAGTTTCATCCCCTATAGTGACTTGAAGAGGTTAAGCCTGTGGTCCTCAAATGCTTTTCCACCAAAAATAGTAACATAAAGCTTCAAAATTGGGAATTGATTTCTCCTTGCTGATTCTTAGGCATCATTTTGCAATTTAGATACATTTCATCCAGGTAGAACATCTTGAAAAATGATCCCCTTTTTCATCATTGAGGAGCTTTGCAAGTTCCTAGGAACACAGTAGCAGCTATGACATCTTTTATGTATTAATACATTTATTAAGTGAAAAATATTTACCCCTATTCTACTTCTCATGAACTGCCTTTTATATTTGTACTATGCTTTGGGAAACGTTACCATAGGCTGGTTAATAAGGATGTTACCATCAGATGATGCCAGTCAAAATTGACAATTTTTATTCTAACACCTGGCTTTCAGATTTGTAAGTTAAGGGCTTTTTGCATTTCTTTTTCTCTTTCTCTCTGTTTCTTTCTTTCCTTTTCTTTTCTTTTTTTTTTTCTTTTCTTTTTTTTTTTTTTTGAGGGAGAGAAGGGCAGAGCAAATGAGCGAGTTGGGCAGATCTGTGTAAAGTCTCTTTTTGATTTTTCTTAACAAACTTTCAAAGTGCTTCATGGTGATTTAATAAAATCATTTCAAAGTGGACACATTCAGTTATTCTCTTTAATATGAAATGAGAATAAGTATCTAAAATTGATTTGAGAGAAATCCATGTCATAAACAAACTCTAAATTGTTAGACTGCCATTCCTTGAAACAAGTTTTCAGAGCCTTCATTTTGTTTATTTTAGGTAATGGTACAATG